CATAAATATGCACCAAATCTATCATCATAATAATCAGCTTTATCAACTCATGCTATTTCGCGCCAATTTATCTGACGTGAATGTAGTGCTAATGATGTCACTACAAAGTATTTTCAGTTCGAGATAGAAACGCTATTTGACGTCATAACTCTATCCGATAAACGATATCCACTGTGATGATGCGTTTAAATGTGAATTATGAACCATAAACAATTTTATTTTCATAAGATTTAACAATAAAACATTTTTAGATGATTAGTATACTGTATATATTACTTCAATGGAATCTAATTTTCTCCATATTAATTGTAGAAAACAGTATATTGAATTTAAATTTGTTTTCAGAATACCATAATTTAAACATCGATACACATTTATTTTTAAATACAAGGAAAAAATTTCAGTTTAATTTTTAATGAAATAATTAGTTTGATGTTTAATAATTGATAAATTTAAACTACTGTCTCCTTTTGAAATTCAGACAATGCTTCAACACGTGGTTTTAGACGTAGACCGCTTTTTGTCTGCACATACATTGCGTAAAATTCTATAATAAATAAACAAAAACAAAGTAAAAATTTATTACTAAAAAATTTTATGATTTTAAAAATGAATACACCACATAGAGACTGGTAAACCAGGGCCAAAGCCTTTGATTTTAGCTAGCAAAATGCTAATCTCTACTTATGTTACAAATGTGTATCTCACATATATTACAACAGTTCCACATATGTAGTGCATAATGGGACAGTTAATATACATGTATGGAGCTGTTGATTTATATTTGCATATTCGTAATACATTTTATTATGAGCATAAAATGAGCACTGAGCAATACTATATATTATAATATATATTATATCTATGCTATATGTATACATATTAAATATTATAATATCTATGTTATATATATAAATTATAAATTAAAATATGAGCATATTTATAATATATAGTTGATAAATATTAAATAATGAATTATCTATATGGAGCTGTTGTATGTTGTATATATGTATATATATATATATATATTAAAATAGATTAAAAATATTTACTGCGACTTTGGGTTAGTAGTTATCATTAAATTTATCACCCAACTAAGTTAGTCGCAAAATTAAACAACATTATGGTTAAGGATGATGAGATAATTATTGTTAATAATTTATAAACAGTCGTAAAATAAATACACATATCGTTATTTTTGCTGAGTACAACGAGTTAGTTGTTCATTAAAATGACGTTATTTTTCATCTTTGCACATGACGCAATTAAAAGATTTCTAACTAATAAATATTATTTTTAAAAGCACTTAACATGGTCTCCAAAGGTGTATGTACTAAATAATAATTATAATAATAAGCAATCTATAAACCACGTAATCGTTTTAGTACACTTTTACATAAATTAATCAGTATTTCCATTTTTTTAAAATTTAAATTTTGAATTTAAAATTAACTGACTGAATGCATCACAAAATGATTGCCACAAAAAATGATTGAATATATCACTGCATCACAAAATATTTTGAACTATTTTTTTAATTCCTTATAAATAAAAGAATAATTACAATTTAACTTTAAAAATATCTTCACCTGTGAACACTAAACTACTCAAAGAAAAATGTAGTGCTAAATAGCTTTCAAAGCTCGCATTTTAATATAAAATAGTCTTATGTTTTTATAGAATAAATGCAGCACTCGTAGGATTCATTTCAAAACGTTATTGTCTAATAGAAATGAATAATGCGCCATAGATTTTTAATAGAATTCATAATTAACATTTTCAACTTATAAACCTGCTTATGCTGATTTTAGATCCTTAATGACTGTACGCGTAGGAAAAAAATCTGGTAAAATTACCATATTGTATGGTAATAACATTTCCGCTAAAAGAAATTACCATATTACTAGTTAATATAACTAAAATATATAATTAAGCCTTCATTTGGTAAGTTTTCCTTTCAAACGATAACGGTTTACTGGAAATTAGGATTCTCAAAATTGCAGTCTCTTATAGCCACTCATTTATTAAAAAATACAAAACTGAAAAGTAAATTTAACCGAGAGAATAGTTTGTTTGCCTGTCTAAGTAATAAAATTACCAATTTTACAACAAATACCTAATTTTATCACACATTATTAGACCGTATTTTATTATTACTTAAACCAAAAACATGACCAAAGCGCTTCGGTAAAAACTATTGAGCTCTTTGGTGTTTTCTTAGTGTCAGAAGCACGATAAATTTTACTATATTCTGATAGTTTTGACCATGCTTTTTCTCTCAGTATACTTTAAATAAGCAGTTAATGGTATAAATTTATGAAGCATATTACAATATTTTTTAAATTTTTTTACCGTTATTTATTTTATGTAATGTACTGTGCAACACATAATTTTTGCAACGTATCAATAACATTAACAGACTGAAAAAAATTCCAATTAATTATCAATGCTACGTCAAAACAATACTTGGCGTTAAGAATTAAATAGACACGACATTTTTCATCGCGTGCTTTTTATTTATAAGATTGACTAAGCGTATACAATTACTTTGTGCAATTCAAATACATTAAAAACACCCATTTATTCATTTATCTGAGCAGTTATTTGCCCAGGTGTTTTCGTTATCTTTTAGACTTAAGACAAAAGTTGATAAAATAAGTTTAACATACTCGACAACTCCAATAAACTTTGTTTTTTTATTATAAAGTTCGGTTCTTTAACTAAAACAGTTTTTTTTAAGAAAAAAAAAGATGCCTGTTTCTTTTGAAATAATGATATTTTTCCAAAAAATTTTGAGAAAAGTAAAAAAATTTATATATGTTCACGATTTTTGAATTTTTACATTCCATTTTTTTTAAAAGTTTTTTTGTGGAAGTTACATTTTCTCGTGTCAGCTGGGCTCATAACTCGGGAAAATCTTCATCGCTTGACATCTTTTCATATTTAAACTATAAATTTAAAATTACAATCTTTACAGAAGTATGTTACATTCTTTGCAGAATCATGTATGATTGTTAAATTATTTACAGAAGTATGTAGTTATGATGTATTCTTTACAGAAATAAGTAAGATTGTTACGTTCTTTGCAGAAGCATAAAGGATTGCTAATTATTTACATAAGCACGCAGTTATGATGTATTCTTTACAGAAATAACTAAGATTGTTACATTCTTTGCAGAAGCATAAAGGATTGTTACATTATTTACAGAAGTATGTAGGACTGTTATATTCTTTTCAGAAATATGTAAGATTGCTACATTCTTTGCAGAAGTAAGCAGGATTACGATTATTAAATTGCATTCTTTACATAAACATGGCACAGGTGAGACGGGCTCGTGTCCGATCCCGAAACCTGGGCCCAACGATTACTCAAATAAACTATTAGAAAAAAAAACTTGAATGCTTGCTGTTCTTGACAATTCTTCGACATTTCTTTTCCCATTCGATTCTAGATTTTCTCTTCGCTTTTTGCTTCACTGACTAGAAAATATGTTTCGTTGACTAATTTCTTAGTTTAGACATCAAATTCCGAGAGGCACACCGCTAACCCGCATTTGTGTTACATGGAGAGTAAAACTACAAAATTCTCCCACGGGAAAAAATTAAGATGTTTTTTAATCAACAGAGAAAAAACAAATTCATTGTACTATTTTATATTAATGATATTGATATATACAGCCCTTTGCAAACTATTTTATTTTATCTTATAACCGTTGTTGAACAGCCGACCCGATTTTGGGCTTACGGCTACTAATGTTCAACTCCGTAGCCTTGTAATTTTGAACCCAATCCAGAAGACAAGGAACTCCAGGATCAAGTATTGGGAGAAATTAGCGTTCAGGACGGATTTTTTGATGGAATTAACCCGCATTTGCGTTACATGAAGCAAAACCTCCCACAGTTAGCCTTAGAGCAAGGAGACTCTAGTCCATGATCCGTCTACCACTGAGGATATTTTCCGTCAGCACTGCGATCTATTGTTGTTGTTGTAGTTCCTTTACGTCGCACTAGAGCTGCACAATGGGCTATTGGCGACGGTCTGGGAAGCATCCTGAAGGATGATCCGAAAACATGCCATCACAATTTTGATCCTCTGCTGAAGGGATGCCACCCCCGCTTCGGTAGCCCAACGACCAAGTGGTCACCCACCCACACACTGACCGCAGCGCAGCCAGTGATGCTTGAATTCGGTGATCTGCTGGGAATCGTGTCTTGGTGATCATCCCACTGTGGTCGATGCGAGCCGGTTGCGGAAAAATTGATTATATAATAAAATATCGACATAACCCGAAGATAAACCGTCGTTTTAAAATATCCATATCACCCAGCATTAATTACTGCAATACCACACACGCCACCCCGTGAAATAAACATTCATTATTTGATGTTTCATTCCATCTAGATCTAGTGAAAACTCCAGTTCTCTGAAAAACAAGATGTTCAATTTATTAGAAAGGAAATAGAAATTGTAATAATCTAAAAAAAAACTGTAATAATTTAATAAAAACATGCAATATTTGTAATGGCAAGAAATAAAAAAAATAAATGAAAGAAAAAAAAACTTGCGTTATAACTCTAACGACCATTACATTTCGTAAAGACTTTACTTTAAATGCTTAGTTTTTTAACGAAAGAAATTTGAAAAATAATTTTGAGATTAAAAAAGAAATAATAATTCCTGATTAGAATAAAATACATTCTGTGTCAATGTTTTAGGGCGGAAAAAAAGGTAAATTGCACTAATTTAAAAACACAATTATAATTATCTTTGACGTAATAAATTCATATAACATTGTCTATTAGTCATTCTTAATTGATTTACAGAAATTTTCCTTCTGTAAGTGAGAATTTTCAGTGTTTATCTCATTTCATCGATCAAATAAAACTAGCACGATGAGTCACACTTAAGTGACGCAATCATAATTCCAAATAATGTGAACTTCGGTTCTTCCTTCCGCTTTTATTTACTAAATAAAAGGATGAGTTATTTTGATTTATTATATCCCTCTAGATGGCAGCACAGTCGATTTTAAAAGTTAGACTTGGAAATTGTTTAGTTGTCAAAGTTCGGTATCGTCTGACTAACTTAGTGCACTTGTCCTTTGCAGCAGTTATGAATTAACTTCCTCCGTGAAAGCATGTGTTAATTCGGCGTTGTGATTCACTATTTGTTTTATCATTTCGGTAAGTGAACCTTCTCAATATTAACAATATTTTTTCCCCTCTTTTTTTTTTCAAAATATAAATTAAAACTTTGTGATTATTGTTCAACGAAGAATCTTGTTTAGAATCTTATTTTTTTTTTAAAAAAAAAAAACTTGCGGAACATGTTTATATTTATGTTATTCGATTTTTCGCCAATTATTTCCTGACGTTGATTTGTGGTGATTCTTGTCATTTTCGCAGAAAATATTACTGCTGAAAAAAAAAGAATTCTAATGCTTAAAATTTGATATAAAATATAAATAATTATGTTCTGCCTGTCAAATCAATATATATANTATATATATATATATATATATATATTGAAATTTTCTTTATTAAACTTTACGAATTGTTTATAAAATTTTACAAACTTCTTTTGTCACCCGACCAAGCTGTAACTTCCAAAATTTTTAATAAGTACTAAGCATATTATACTGTTTTTTTATATTTCATTCACCTACTGAATTGTTGTGAATTTTAAATCAAGTATCAGAAAATGTCAATTTATTATAGACCACTTTAACATTTACGTTCTGTTGAAAGTACAAAGATCTGTCAAAAAAATTTTTCTTTTTTTAACATGTTATGATTGTATGTTTATAACAATTTCAAACTGGAAATGAGCATTACATTTAATTCAAATTCCAAAGATTAAAAAAAATAATGGAAAACGTTTCTAAAATTAATCGTTTGCATATATTTTTTTATTTAAGCTTATTGTTTACTAAAAAGATTGGCAAGATTTTCAAAAATTAGATTAATCTTAGTATCTTTATTTATTGTACCTAAATCTGGGAATAAATCACCTAGCACCTTTTTAAATATGTCACATTCACGTTTAACTTTACCTGTTATTTGTTATGGTGTTGAAAGTTATATTTTCCCCCTTTCCTTTTTTGTTTTATCAATTAAAGATTCAGTCCTTTTTCCCCTTTATAAAAGTTAAATCAAGAAAATCAAATATTTCAAGCATATTGTTCTGTGTGATCTTATTCTGATAAATCCAGTAACTCATCAATGATTAATCACATATTTTTTTTTCTTTCTGCGATTGTTTTATATATATCCTCTTACTGTTAAGACAGGAGTTAAACAATAATACTCTGAAAGTTACAGTTGTATGTGTTATCTACGTAATTAAAAGCAAACGTTTTAAAATTGTTCTAATAGTTGGCAAACTAATATCAAATTAATAAATAAAATAACAAAATAGCCTAGATAGATGACAGACTAAAATGAAATTTCTAAATAAAATAACAAAATAGTCTAGATAGCTAGGAGACTAAATGTAAATTTATTAATAGCAAAATGTCCAGTCTTCTCTCCCTCTCAATGTACTTATTATAAGCTAACAATGCTTTAAAATTAGTCTATTTTCCTTACTACTTTTATATTTGAAAATTAGCTTAATTTTTAATTCTATCATGTTGGTGAATTAATGACAATCTTTTTGTTTTAGCCGACAGATTATGTAAACAAATTATTAAAATATCAGCTTTTACATGTTTCGGCCTGTAGACTAAGAATAAAATTTTTTACGTTTCATAGAATAATTAACACCATAATATGTAAGCTTATATTCTACTGTTACAAAGAGTTTGTATATTGCCTAATTTTTGATATAATAATAATAACTTTAAATATTGTCTAACTTTTTATGATGAATTTCTGATTTTAGCGAAAATGCCTCGGTTATTAACATTAGGTTAATGAACAAGATACTCTTAACTTTAACTTTCAAAAAGAGATGTATAATAATTGAAAATAGATGTTAGTCGAAATCTCCGTAGTTTTTTTTTTAAAATTTCAAAACAACTTTTGCTAATATTAGCATATGAATTTCAATGCTAATTTTTTTTTTTATAAAAAAAGTCTTATTTCTATCGCTTATTTAGTTGAAAAGCTCCTTGTAGCATTAATTAAATTTTTCTACACATTATCAAAACTTTGAAATTGTATGTTCTAAATTGGTAATTTAAAAAAAAAAATTTGGAATTAAAGGTTATACATGGGCCTGAAAATTTCTGAAAACTGTATAACTACTTCTGTACAACATATGAGGATTATAGAATATGCAGATTTCCACAAATAAAAATTAAGAAAATTATTTTGATTCGAACTCGAAGAACCAGTAAAATATTTCAATCTTTTATCGCTGACCGGTAAAGTTAATTTTCACAGATACAAAATTGTGCTTTTTAAACAATTTTTTTGACCAGTTTGTTTTTGATCATTCACTTACTCTCTGCAATGAATAATATTTTGAGACTAAACCTGTTAAATAATAATTAAAATTTTTATTAATTCTAATACAAATAAAACAGAACTTGAAAGTGTAAATGCGATTTAGTGGTAATCATAATTCAGGCAATTCTCATGTCAGATTATTATGAGTCTTTTATTCGTTTAAATATACTTTTTTTTAAAAAAAAAAAAGAAAATTCTATGACTTAATCGGAGTGTAATCGGTTAACTTTAAGCGGCTTCGGTTTTTCTCAGAATAAATTTTTTCTCAAAACCAAAAGAATACCTAGTCAAGAATGCTCCTAGTAAACATACTGACGTAATAAAGGTTTTTAAAAAAATTAAAAAGGCTAAGCTTATTTCATTCTCAACCAAAACTTTCGGAAGAGTTCATTTTAAATTATTAAACTATGCGCTAAAATTACAAATAATTTAAAAAAAAATTTGCTTAGAAAGTGTTTCATTGAAATTATCTTTTTTCCCATTAAATTCACTTTATCCTTTTTTCTGAAAATAGAACTTGAAATTTCAGAAAGGGTGATATACACCCGGAAACCACCCCATGCGGACTTTAGAAACGGTACCATATCCTGGTAAGCGACATTGTTAGATAAACGCATTTGTAATTACTTTTATGAAACAATTATTTTTGTAGATTCTTAAATGTTTATATATTGAATCTTTGTAATCGATTTAATTTTCGAAATAACTTTTAATTCACCCTGAAAAAAAAATCCGAAAATTTCACGTATTTTTGTAATAAAAATTAATAATGCAAAACATAATTTTTTTGATAGGAAAATAAATCTTAGGAACATTTATCAACATCTAAAAAATTTTCTGCCCAACAGAATACATTAGATGACATTTTTATTTGCATAATTTCTATACATCTTACACCACGGTGCCAATCATGTCAACTATTTGCATCCGATTCGAATGGCCTATTTTCCTCTCTCATTGTTTAGACTTCATGCTTATGTAGGTCTACCATTTGTTTGAGAATCGCTTTATCCTCTATACGTTAAGGTCACAGTTTAAATTGCTTCCCCACCTTCTCGGGATAATCCCTAAAATTAACGAAGTGTGTTTAAATGAGGTTTACTGGTAATTAGTTACAAACAATATGTAAACATCTCTTTTATTTCTTCATTATACCATAAGTGTGACCGCAAAATTAAAATTTATTAAGATTTAAATAAAGGTAGTTCCCGGAAATTGTGGTTTGTGGTCACTCCCATAGAATTCTTTAATTGTCCGTCATGCTACTCTATATTACCTAGAACTTTCTAACCAGATAAAAGTTGATTTCGATAAAAAGGGGGGGGGGTCCTTACTTATCATCAAATTTTGTTTTCTAATCAAGGAATTTCGATAGGCTTTCATAGAAGAAAAAGGTAAAACGTTCATAGAGGGATCTTCTATTATTCAAAACGCAAAGTCAAATTTCAATGTCAAAGTCAAAGTAGGAAGTCAAATTTCTCAAAATAGCAGTGGTCGATCTATTTCCCCTTCTGAGAGTATTTGTTAAATATATGGGTGAATTTTTTATCTTTGAAACTGGACAAAATGCATGTTTAAGAAAATAAACATAGTTTGCAAAAATGAATACAGTTCAAAATGAGTCTTTGAAAAAATTGCCAATAAATAGTTATTCTCTATTTACATTAAAACTGCTGAACTATAAAATGGATTGATTTTTTAAAAGATTCAATTATCCCAAAAAAATTAGAAATGCATAAACAAAACTTGAAAAGTCCACTCTTTTCATGGGTTGCCCAAAAATCCTAAAATTTATCATTGTTAGTAAATGTGTTTAATACTAATTGGGAAATTTCTTTTTATGAGAAACAACTTAAGCGTTTGGATTGATAAGAAAACAAAGAATTATCCTACAAACATATTTTTTTGTTAAAAAAAAGAATTTAAAAATAAATTGAAATAACATTTTATTTCCATTTTTACTTTTGAAAATTTGTGAGATCCGTTAAATCCTATGTCATTTAATTCAATAATTAAAAGCATTGAAAAATGCATTTTTAATTGCGGTTGATCATATATTTTTCTGTAATATTCACTAATTACTCGTTACATATCTTGTAATATCTTGTTTTTTGTTCGCCAAGTTACATATTATTGCTAGATTGCAAAACCAAATGTAATAAAAGAAAGTTATTAAACACAAAAAAAATCTTATTTTGAATAGCAACAATACTGTATACTCAACTAAAATACGATAAATTAGTTTAGTTGTATTCATGATTATGTCTCATCAATTTCTGCAAGTTTTTTAATTCATTCTAACTTGTTTATTCTCCGTAAGNGTTACATATTATTGCTAGATTGCAAAACCAAATGTAATAAAAGAAAGTTATTAAACACAAAAAAAATCTTATTTTGAATAGAAACAATACTGTATACTCAACTAAAATACGATAAATTAGTTTAGTTGTATTCATGATAATGTCTCATCAATTTCTGCAAGTTTTTTAATTCATTCTAACTTGTTTATTCTCCGTAAGACTTCTCCATTTTTATCCTTATTTCGGTTCTTCGAAATTTCTTTTTCCATTTTGGTATTTTTTGATTTATTCCAATGGTTGACACTAGTATGGAATCGATAAACAGTATTATTAGTCCCAGCTTATTACGAATGCAATTTTCAATTTATTTTTTTCTCCTTAATAAATATGCAATTTTGATAGTGGTATTATTTCTTTACCGGCAATAATTTAATAGTCCTTGTAGCGTGACCTAAATTTATTTTTTGAGTGAGTACATTGTTGCGTATCCAAACATAAAATGTTTACACTACGTTCACCTTCACCATTATCAAGATTTCCTGAGAATATTTACTTCCTAGATTATTGTCTGCTTTGATACTCATCGGAAAATAAACTTTTTTATGCATTCCGCCTGATCATCGTGTTCTAAATTTTGCCTTATAATGTTCTTTTAATGGCTTCTAATTGTTTGTGTTTATAAAAACCCAATTGACGCATTACGTCTGATCATCGGGTTCAAAATCTGTATTATGATGTACATTTTATAGTTTCTAATTGTTTATATTATTTATAAAAACCCAATAAACGCATTCCGCCTACTCATCGAGTTAAAAATTTGTATTATAATGGACTTTTAATGGCTTCTCATTGTTTATATTACTTATAAAACCCAATTATTTCTACTGATTGAAATTGTGCTTATAATTACCGAAACCAATATTGTGAAAAAGGACTTAAATTGATCTCTAGAATACTCTCTAGTGGCAACAGAATTTCTGAAATGGCTTTTGTTCTCAACCAGGGTATTTTAGGCTTAAGTAGAAGGTTCGTTTTTGTGAATTTTACTCATAATTTTGTGGATATGAAAATAAAGTCTTGTTTTTGTGTGAAAAAAATACTTAAAAAAACAATGTGTATTTCAAAGAATTTTAGTCTTCAACTTCTGGTAAATACCAATTTTCACATCCACAATGTACCCATTTGTTCTTCCTTCTATTTGTTATAAAATTCATATTTGAATGTAACTTAGTTTCAAATCCTTTTGATTTAGTAAAATTTAGTGTATTATAGTCGCTTCTGGCTCCTTTGCCTTAAGTCTCCATTCAACCTACCTACTGTTAATGACTTATAGATTTCGAAAAATTTTTCCAATATTTTTTGAGCCATCTCAAAAAAGTTTATATCAAAATAAAATCTTTAAATTTTTTAACTGAGTCCTATCAAAAACGTTAGTCTAATTAATGGAATGAAATTTCACAAAAAAAATTATAATGGTGCTTTTTTTAGAAAATACCAAATACTAAAAATGTTTTTGATTTGTCAAAACATCAAAGTCAAGTTAGCAGGACATATAACTAAACATTTAAACATTCCCTGAGATATATCTATTACAATGTTACATTTTATCATTTAAGCATTGATATCTTTTAAATCGTCATATCTCAAAAAGTATTGAACATGCATATTGGCTATTTAGACTTGTAATAAGGATGGCACGATTCACCCCCCCCCCCAAAAAAAAGCGTATTGAACTGGCTAATTCCGCTATTGTTTCAAGATAATCTTAGTCTTCTATCTAGGTTGGTAAGATGGATCACTATACCTAATTTTTAACAAATATTACCGAAGTTCAAGTTTTATAATACTTATTTAAAGTCTATTATAGTTCAGTTGCTCTAAACCTTGAACTGAAATAAGTACGTTAAAAATTATTCGCCAATTAATTTTTTTTTTCTTTACCAACTTTATCTGTGCAAGAGATTGGTTTAATCCATTATTGAGCATCCCTTAACTTAGCTACTTTGTTCCCGCTAAACTAACATTCAATTCTATGTTTAACATTGTTAAACCATAAATTGGATTTTACGTGTGATATACGATGTAAAATTTAAACACCTGTTTGGAAGTTAATAAATGTCTGCTCTACTTCTTGCCATAGTTCAAAACAGCTTTTAAACAAAAAAAAAAATAAAAAAAAAGATGCAGCATTGTTTTGATACGTTGTTTTGTTTATCATTGTTCAATGGCGTTTGACCTTTTTACGCTTGAAGTAGTAAGTTTTAAATTAGTTTAGAAACCCATGAACAGTTTCAATATTTAGTTTTTCTATTTCAAAATATGCAAAATTAAAAATCAGTTAATGTTTATAATTATATCTTTCTTTTCATTAAAAAGAACTTTCTTTTCTTTAAAAAAATCTTATTTGAATATATCTGTAATTATTTTCAATTTATAACCTATTTAGAGGGAAATAAATTTTTTTGGTTTATATATATAAGCAGGATTGATTTCCATTTTATTTTGTCCCGCAATAGACTAATCGTAAAGATACGGCACAGAGTAAAACACCGAAGTCAAGCATCACTGGATATGGTTAGTAAGCGGGTGGGTGACCACTTTGATCAGCCTGCGTAAGGACCAAGGATGCACGGTATCGGTCCTCGTGAAACTGTTCTACCGTAACGTGCTTGACTTCGCGTGCAGGTCGTCGAGCTACCAAAGCAGAGGAGCCAACCCCTCTGCCGAGGATCAAAAAAAGAGGGCATGTCTTCGGATCTTCCCCAAGGATGTTTCCCAGACGGTCGCCAATAGCCCATCGTGCAGCCCTAGTGTGACGTAAATAAAATACCTACCTGCATCTTTTTCATTTATTATTTTTTGGTTACTAATTGTGGTCAAAAGTATACCTCTCTCTAATGTGTTTATAAACTCTACATTTAATCGAATTTTAAAGGTATTAGAAGATTAATTTCTTTCCCCAGTAGGATAAGGGTTCCGTAATGTTGTTGAAATGTCATAATACGATTAAACAAAGTGCTTCATAAGGGCTTGTATTAATATACATTTTAGAACATTTCATAAAAATGAAGATAGAAAAGCATACGTATTGAGGAAGAGGTCGCAAATTAATATTTAAACTAGTAAAACAAATATCCTATCGAAATCTGGTCCATCAGAATTCAAGACCGATATACTAAAGCTAGCTTGATTGTTGTGCGAAACAGAGGAATTGAAAAGAAATTATTTGAAATACCATCAAGCCTCAACGGACAATTAAACAGGAATTTGATGTTCTGTTCTACCTCCTT